TAAATGCCACTTCATCGATGTCACTTTTTCCCCTTTACAAGATGTTGCTACCAAATTTCAGATTCGACATTTCGTCTTTGGGCGGCCATCGTCAACTTAATTTTTTTAAATACGACCCTGGAGTTTTTATTCCAGATTTTGAGAGCTCCTGGTGTCCCAAAACCGATGACGTATCGCATTTATTAAACATTATTTTTTAGTAATTTCCTCGGTAATTTCCTACCAAAATTCTCTTGTCTGTCTCTCTCTAACACATTTAGTTCTCATGGAAAGTGCCAATAATATAAATTTTTCGAATAAATGCGATACGTCATAAGTTTTAAGACATCGAAAGTTCTTAAAATTTGAAATAAAAAATAAGGGTCCATATTTAGAAAAATAAAGTTGATGATGGCCACTCAAAGACGAAACGTCGAATCTGAAATTTGGTAGCAACATCTTGTAAAGGGGAAAAAGTGATAATGATTAAGTGATATTTATTTTAAAATTGTTCTACAAATAGACTCAGGAAAAAATAAAAATGATTTTGAGAAATTTCGATTTTTTCCGAATATCTTCGGAAGTATTCGGAATTTTACAAAATTTCAAAACGGCATTTCATTGGTCATAAAGTTGCGCAAATATGCCATAATTTAACCAACCTCGTAGGTATCTCTAATGGTTTCCAATATCTCAATGGTCACCCTCGAATTTGGGATACCCTGTTTATTTTCTTTAGGTGACACTTGTCAAACTTAATAGTTTTTTTTTACTACTAACCTGAGAAATAGACATTATTCAATCTATTTTCCTAAGAAAAAATTGAATTTCTCTCCCTAGGTTAATAATGAAAATAATGAAAAAATACCTAGGTCAATAATGAAAATGACGTCATGACGCAAGGATATTGTCATGTTTCTATTGGTTCAATTTCAATTTCATACCATCATGTTGGTTTTGTCCAGGTAGGAGTTTTGTCAGTAGGAAACCGGCCATTCCTATGACATTTTACCAGTGTAAAACTAGTAAAACACTCTATTAAAATACTCAGTGTAAAATACTCAAAGTTTGTTTTTTTTTTAAAGATAATTCCCCAAGTCAAAAATTTAGTAACTATGTTGGCAACACAAGCCTTTTCTACATAAAAATTTTGAATGCATTGATAATTTTACATTGTATTGCCAACATAATGTCATTTTGACTTTTATCTTTAAAAAAAAAGACTTTTGGGCGCGTTCTTTTATTCAGCAATGTATCCATCTGCTGCCAGCAATATGAGACAGACATTCCTATTTTCTATGTGCTAGACAAAGAAAGGCTGATTACTGATGTTGCTAATGCCGCTTATTGGTCGCAAAATGCCATTTGCACGACATGCATTGTAAAACTGATGTCAACCTGCAGGGACACCTCATTTTGCGACCAATCAAGGCCAAACATAAACTTCAAAGTTTTCAATGTCAAAATCTATCTTGGGATAAAATGGACTGTAGTGAAATGGTCAAGAAAAAATTAAAAGAATATTTTTGATTTGATTTCAATAAAAGATTTACTTACGTTTTTTTTTGTACCTAGAGTGTTTTTACTTGATATAGGTATAATATTCACTAAAAAAAGTCCCAAATAAAATACTTTAAATTAGGAGAAATCCCGCGCAATCCCGAGAAAACCTGAGCAATCACGAGAAATCCTGCGCAGTCACGCGAAATCCTAGGCAAATTCGAGAAATCCCGCGAAATCTTGTACAATTCTGCGAAATCCCGTGCAATCATTACGAAATTTTGCGAAATCCCTAATTTTGCGCAATACTGTCACATTTTCACCCTAGTGGTTTACCCCTCGCCATAAACTCTACCTCCAAAAATCAGTTTAAGCTGGATTTATAGTGTCAGTATCAGTAACAGTAGCAATAACAGTAAAATATTAAAACACGGCCTACCGTAAAGCCATTTATAATTCACTTAACAAACTTAACAGTAAAACTTAAGAAATGGTTATTTTCATATCTGTTCTTAAGTTTTAAGTTTTACTGTTACTGTTACTGATACTGACACTATAAATCCAGCTTAAGAATCGCCTCGACCAGGAAATGACAAGCTGGGCCCTTTATGCATGTCTGTCTATAGACCATACAATCAGAACTAAGAATGCGATAGCTGTAACAAATACGGCAGTCTCCGCCTACTGCTGTTAACAATAATAATAATAATAATTTACTTTTCAGCGTTGACATTGACAAAAACTGTCTGACCTAAGTTTTTCAGAACAGACTTTTTGTTGTTAAGCCTGACTCACACTAGTTTTAAAAAAATAGTATTTTACATTATTAGCCAGGTAAAACAGTTTTTACTGGCGATTGAAGGAATTGACTAGCGAGCCGTCAGGCGAGCTTGTCACCTTCAAGAGCCAGTAAAAACTGCTACCTGGCGTATAATGTTCAATAGTTTATTTGTTACTCATTTGTAAAAAATATAAGGGAAAAATAAAAAATTGATACATAAAATTAGAAAAAAAAGAAATTTTTTTTTTTTGATTTTTTGTCATACAAGCCTAGTACCTATACCTATAAGAACCAGATGTTGTTGAGTCGTTGTTTTTAGTTATAATCCGGTTTTCTGGAAGATTTGCATTATGCAATTTTTTTCCAGAAATGAATGTGTCAGAAGATATTATTAATGAAACTACAGTCGTAGCTAACAGTTTATCACCAGATAAGGATTCCAGAAGGTACCTACATACAATTATTCTTGTGAAAAAACTGATTTTTTAAAAATAAATAATTCTACTGACTTATAATAGTATATTACAATCCGAGACGGAAAATACTTCATTGCTGGTCGAGAGGTTATTATAGTTTATCGAGACGCGAAGCGTCGAGATAAACTCAACCTCGAGACAGAAATGAAGTTTTCCGTCGAGGTTTGTATACTTTTTTATTTTCAACCCTTAATTTTCTGATGCAAAAACTAAAGATTCTGTTATACGAAATTTTCATATAGTGTAAAACTGGCCTTAGAAAAAAATATTTCACTTTTTTTGTCAATGTCATCAATTTTGACGATCTCAAAGGCCCTGTAAAGGCCAAAACAAAAGACGAAACCACAGGAAACCGCAAAATCAACAACCATAGATAAGATCAACAACGCCTTAACGACGGTAGTTTTCGCTCAGTATTTTTGCGGAAATAATAGATTTTCACTAGATTTCTCCCCGTTCTCCCCAAAGAAATGATTTCGGAAAGTGAAGATGAAGCGATGGATTGTACCCCACCTGAATTAAAAGAAGCAGCAGACAGGATTGGAGAGAGTTTGCTTCCAGCAAAAAGCAAATTTCGGTACGAAAAGGCTTTTCAAATATTCGAAGCATGGTGTAGCCAGAAAGGAACGAGAAATACTGCCTCGGAGACCGTTTTGTTGGCGTATTTTGGCGAATTATCTAAGGAAAAGAAGCCTTCGACTTTATGGTCGACTTACAGTATGTTGAAAACCATGATTAAATTGAAAGAGAAAGTTGATATCTCCAATTACGCAAAACTTATAGCTTTTTTGAAGCGGCAAAATCTGGGCTTTCAGCCGAAAAAGTCGAGCGTTTTTTCCAGAGAAAACATTAACGAGTTCCTCACAAAGGCAGCTGAAGAATTCATTAGCATCAAGGTAGGTTTTCAAAAAATATACAAAGAAGATAAAAATGCGAAAATCAAAATGATTTTCTGTATGCTATAGCTAGGTTACCCATTTTATTTTTATCTGGTTTCAGGTAGCGCTAATTGTTGGTGTGTCGGGTGCATGTAGGAGCGATGAACTAGTCAAGATGAAAATGGAGCACGTCAACGTTTTGGAAGGAAAGATCGCTATAGAAATTCCACACACAAAAACTTACACAAGTCGATCGTTTATCATAAGCGATCCAGATTGGGTTGCTATTTTCCACAAATACCTCACTTTGCGGAAAAATTTGAAAAATGACAGGTTATTTGTTCAATGGCGAAATGGGAAATTACATAACCAAGCAATTGGCTATCATTCAATCTCAAAATTTCCACATAAAATAGCTGCTTTTTTGAAGCTTCCAAAAATTGAAACTTTTACAGGGCATGCTTTTCGTCGTACTTCCGCAACCTTATTGGTTGACAACGGGGCCGATCTATTGCAACTCAAAAGACTGGGAGGGTGGAAATCGAGCACGGTTGCTGAAGGCTACATAGAGGCATCTTTGGAGAACAAAAGTAAGACTGCTCTGATGCTATCCTCTACTTCCAAAGGTATTCAGTTGTCCAGTGCATCCACAAGTACATCACATGCGGAAACTCATCCGCAAGCGCAAGAGATAATAGTTCCAAATGAAACACAATTCCAACAGGATGGTCTCAAGATTTCCATTATAAACAACAATGCTAATTTAACAATTAATGTAAATAAGTGAATAGATTTAATTAGTTCCATGTAATACATGTGGTTTTATTATTATATGTGAGAGCTGTATGAAAATTATCAATTTGGAACGAGCAGGGAAATGGGGACGGAAAAGCATTTGCCGTCCCGGACGGAAAATGCTTTTCCGTCCTAGGCAGGCATATGCATTACCGTCCCGATAAATGTCAAAGTCCAGAAATGTGACACTTTCAAGATTTTGAAAAACCTGCAATGTCAACATTACATATGTGGTTGAAAATAAAAAGTTTTTACAGTTTAGCTGTCAATTTTACAAGTCAGTAGAGCCAGTGCCTTGTAAAAATGAATTTTCGTTGTTTATGTTTTAACTTGATAAGTGACGTTTTACAAATGAGTGACAAATAAATATATATTGCCTGTACCAGTTTTATGTTTGGCCAAGTGTAAAATACAAGAATGTGTAATGATTATTGTATTTGTAATTTGAAGACAAGCAGTAAGCAGTCAATAGGTAATAACTATTGGCGAACATAGGTACTTGATATAAAATTTGTTTAATAGTTTAATTGTTTCAGCAATATAAATTTATAATAAAATTTGATTTAGAAAACAGATAGGAATGTTACAAACCTTGGTAAAGATCCCACAAAACTGCATTCCACTTTCGAGCTAGCTTCGACCAAAATCTAAAAAGAATAAAATTGAACATTAATACACATAGATACTGGTCGAATTATTAATATTTCAATGATTTGACCTCGCAATCTAATTTGTATATTTTCCTTACTTTTGACCCTTTCCTACCTAAAAACTCTTCCAAAATAAACCATTAACTTACCGCTAGATAAAATTTAAACGCCCTATTTATTCATTCACTTTCAAAAGTCTATTGTTCATCAAATAACGAAGTTTTTATTCAAAACTAGACATTTTCTTACAATTTTTTCCTAATAACATGAAAATAGGCGGACGCCATAAACACCGCCATATTTTTATCAAACTAGGGCAAAAAGCTATATCTTTTCCATATTTTTTTAAAGGGATAAATGAGTTTTATCCCTTTTCCACTCTCATATCTCACATTAACTACCCTTGTTTTGGGGTAGTTCAGAAAGATTGGAATTTAAAAAAAAAACTACCAAGAGATGGCGCTAGTCCCGAAACAACTATCGATCAGTCAGATGTTCCTGACAGTTCCTGCCAAATATTAGGTTAGGATTTTTAGTATTTAAAAAATTATTTTATATTTTTTCAAATAAATAATTATTGCTTATAAAAATATGTCGGATAAAGACTACGCCCCCCTCAGTGCAGCTTGCGTTAGGGCACTCAACGATAAGTTATATGAGAAAAGGAAAACAGCTGCTTTAGAAATAGAAAAGTAAGTAATTCACCCCCTAAAATACTATTTTTGACTGTTATATTTTCTAGGATGGTTAAAGAATTTGCAGCAAATAATAACACAGGCCAAATAAAACGTATACTCAAAATTCTGGGACAAGATTTTGTCTTGTCGCAGAATCCACACGCAAGAAAAGGTGGCCTAATCGGTTTGGCAGCCATAGCAATCGCTTTAGGAAAAGTGATAAGAAAGTACCCTCAAATTACATTATACTTATTAGTTATTAATTTCAGGATACAGGCGGTTACACAGATGAATTAATTAAACCAATATTGGGTTGCTTGTCAGATCAAGATTTACGTGTTAGATATTATGCATGTGAGTCATTATACAACGTCGTGAAAGTATCCCGAAGTGCAGTTTTACCGTATTTTTCTCCCATTTTTAATGCTTTGAGTAAGGTGGCTACTGATTCAGATCAAAATATAAAAAATGCCTCAGAACTGCTTGATAGATTATTAAAGGTAAATAAAATACACATGTTTACAAAAATATCCTTATTAAGTTTGTATTTAGGATATTGTAGCTGAAACTACTTCATTTGACTTGAACGGATTTATACCATTACTCAGAGAAAGAATTTATACAAAAAGCCCATTTTCGCGTCAATTTGTTATCTCATGGATATCAGTGTTGCACAGTGAACCTAGCTTGGATCTCATCAATTACTTACCTGAAATATTGGACGGATTGTTTAGGATATTAGAAGACACAAATTTAGAAGTTAAGAAAATGTGTGAAATAGCTTTAGGTGAATTTTTAAGGAGCATCAAGAGCGATCCGTCCAGAGTCAATTTTGGAGCTATGATCAATATACTTATAAACCACGCTCAGGAAAAAAATGACGAATTAGTTCAAGTAAGACTTAAGACTTTAGTTATTTGCATAATTTTATTTATTTGTTTAAATTAGTTTACAGCAATTACATGGATCAAAGAGTTTGTACAATTATCGGGACCTGCAATGTTACCTTTCATGTCTGGAATATTTACAGCAATTTTACCATGTTTGGCCTACGAAGTGGACGCCAGGAGAAGTATCCTTCTTTATTCTACTATGTAACTTTTGTGTATTAACCGTGCCTGCTACACAATCCTATTTGCACCATTTAATGCCTTTAAAATCTATGCTTTGGTTTCGGATTAGTCTAGTGAACTCGTAATCTATTTTCGTCTTATCTTGGATATAAATGTTTGCACTTCTCGTAAATGCAGTATTATTTTACAACAGATAATTATGTTTAATTCTGGTAAAATACGTACTTAATAAATTGCAACAGTTGTATTCAATCAAGCGTTTATTGTATTTTTGTTTGGTGTTAAATTCTGTTTTTATTGTAAATATCAATGAATGAACTTAAAGAATTCTGTGCTTGGGTTGATAGTAAGTTATTGTTTTGATTTACTAGTGCATGTGTTTTATACAGTTTTATTTTTTTCCTTAATATAGTGACAGACATCAAAGAAACAGCCACTGCGGTGAATTTTACTTTGATGAAATTAATTGCGCTGCAAGATGAAAATAATAAGGAAGGGAGTAAGGAAGAAGTTAGAACTAATGGTAAGTGTTAGTGAAATTTATTAAATTATTTGTGTGGAGTACGGCTCCATTGCTAGCCACGAATTAGAGCCGAAGGCCAAAAGATTTTTTTTTTTGTTTTTTGAATTGACCCTGGAACTATGGCTTATCAGAGACTACACTACAATTTCAACTATTTTTTTAGAGTCCTCTATGAAAATCAAAAAGCTTCAATTAAAGCCTAAAACCTAAGTTCTAGCTGATTTTACCTCAACTCACTAACATAATATGGACAAGCAGTAACCAGAAAGCACAAAGACTGCACAAAATTTTCTCATTTTATTTATTTATTTATTCAAAGGTATGCAATTGCACAATTATGTTCCTACCCAACTAGTCCAGTAATAGTTGCTATTTAACATTACTACTAAAATATAACTGAAAAACAAACGAACAAAAAACATTATTTTAATTAAAAACCTCCTGCAGTAATTAATACATGGATACCTAGTATCTATCATTTGCAATATGTCTTAAGGCATAATGGATACAAGACAAAACTGAGAAAATAAATTCAGAACCGAGTTCAGAACATTCAACACTCAAGACACAATTTAACATTTAAGAACTAGCATTCAATATTTGTTTAAGTCTAAGCTTAAAAGTTGCCGGTTTGCAGTCTTACTTGAAATCGAGAGGAATACACCTGTCATACAGTTCCATTAATCTGTTGCTAACACTATTTTTACCAATGTTAGTACGACTTTTATTTTTGTAAAACATGGTTGATTTAGGTCGATACGTTGGAATCTCGAAGTTATGCATACTCAATAATTAGGACATTACAATCAACAGTATCAGTCAGAATTCTGTGCGCAAATGCTAACAAAAGCAAATTTCTTCTCGATTCCAAGCTTTCTACACTGAGAGTTTTTAACCTATCTTCGCGAGTTGAATTATTTCTACTTATGTTTAATTTATACAATAAAACCTAACCAAATTATGTTGCACTTGTTCTATTCTATCTATATATTATTTGTAAAAGGAAGACCAAATAACACAACTGAGAACACATTCGTCCATATTCCAAATCACTTCTGACTAAAGCATAGTAGAGACATTTTATCGCCTCTACATCAGTGAAATTCCAGCATTGTCTCAGCATGAATCCCAACATACAATTGGCCTTGGTGACCGTATCATTAATATGATCGCAAAAAGATAATTTAGAATTAAACACTATTCCTGAATCCCGCATGTATACTCGTACAATGGAAATATATTTTTAATTTTTGACAAATTTGCACTCATGCGTTTTTAACTGAAAAAGGCACTCATCCACTACGTGCACTCGTGCTCTTTTTCAACTAAAAATGCATTCGGGCAAATTCCTCAAAAATTATCGATAATTTCCATTGCACTCGTTATATTACTATTACTATTGATAATAAACCCAAATTACTGCTACTTTTTTTTATAAAGTTCATTCACCTTGAAACAGATGTCGAGGATTGGAAATACGAAATTTTCCTAAAAAGAAAAGATGTTTCCATAAGATCTTCCTATCTTGTAACAACAGACAATTTTCTCCTCCTCTTGATGCCAAACTCAGATAGATTAACACAAGACAACACTTTGAAAACACCAATAAATTCAAGAGCTGATATGCACGCATACTATGCCAACTTATGTATTTTTAGCTGATTTCTAAAAATTCTTATCGGTTTGCCTACAGTTTTTTCCCCAAAAATGGGCCAAATTCATTCTTATTCACAAGTGCAAGAAATCCCTTAAAGCTGTAGTTGAAGCATCAAAAAGAACGAACTTATAATACATTGCCTTTATGGCATATTAATCATTTACTGAAACTTTTTTTTTTAGATTACGAAGACAATATCCCCCATGAAATCGACTTACAATCTGTAGTAGATGTACTTATTCAATATCTTATGCATAATTCAATACAAACCAAAGTAGCAGTACTCAAATGGATACACGATTTGTATACAAAACTTTCCAGTAAAGTACGACTTATTATAATAATTTTACTTCAAATTGAAAATTTATTAAAATACTTCTTAGATGGTAAATTATATTGATGTCCTGTTCCCTGCCCTCCAGAGAACATTATCGGACGAAGCTGATCAAGTAGTTCAACAATGTTTAGTTGTTATTGCTGAAGTAATTTCCACTCCCAAGACAAATACTCAAGATGCCAATGGTAACATTTTTGTGTCATAAATACAGTATACTTATTGTATGTTTTTTTTTCTAGGCAAAAATACTTATTACAATAAATTTATTGTCAGCTTGTTGCTGCTATTTAATAATGACAAAAGGTTGCTAGACGAAAGAGGATCGTTTATCATTAGGCAATTATGCGTTTTACTTAACGCTGAAGATATTTATAAGACACTAGCTGAAATTTTATTAAAAGAGCCCGATTTGAAATTTGCGAGTCTTATGGTCGATCACCTCAATATGATACTGTTGACTTCGTCCGAGTTATTTGAGTTGAGGAATAGATTAAAAGCTTTATCAACACAGGTACAGGTTTTTGTATGTGATTTTGAATTTTTGCTAAATTTTCATTGTTACAGGAAGATCGTCAACTTTTTCTTTGCATATACAAAACCTGGTGTCATAATCCTGTGGCTACAGTGGCACTGTGTCTTTTAACCCAGAGTTATGGTCATGTTTGCGATCTTATAAAATTATTGTATCCTTTTTATGAATATTTTGATTGAAGGAAAAAACTAGCAGTCAGATAAAGATATCTTTGTAGACAGAAATTGTGGATGCAGGATTGCTAGTTTTTTCACTTTAAAATTCATATTCATCCATAATTGTATTACTTCTATCTTAAACGAAATATTCCTTAACATCCATAAAACAGTGGTAGTATAGAAGTGACAGTGAATTTTCTAATGGAAATAGATAAATTGGTCCAGTTAATTGAATCTCCAATATTTGCTTGTAAGTTCTAACTTTTTAAACAAAAACGTAAAATTAATTTTTATTGTAAGATTTAAGATTAGAATTATTAGAAGTCCCATGTGATAAGCATCTAGTGAGAGCATTATACGGCCTTCTAATGCTTTTACCGCAAACTGAAGCTTTTGCAATACTCAAAGCACGATTGAGCTGCATTCCTAGTCTTCAGTTGCAGTTTGACGAAAAGTAAGCGAGTTTCTAAAAAATCTGAGCTGAACTAAGTGTGTTTGATTTTATAGAGTCACTGATAAAAGACGCCCTCATTCGTCAATAGATTTTCAACAGTTACTTACACATTTCAACCAAATACAAGAAGGACACAAAGAGTACAAAAAAATAAGTCGAACCAAAGATTTATATGCATTTCATTCTGAAACCGAAGATACATAATCCCAGTTTTTTTAAGGAGTATTATTTTTTATCTTTGTATTACTTAATTATACCTACCTTTTTACTGTATATACATTCCCAATAAAAAATTGTTACCTATTTATACAAAATAATTGTTTCTGTGTTCAATAGATAATTATTAACAAATCAGGCCAGTGGATTTGTTTTATTAACTTATGGTTAATCTTAGATAATAATTCGATTGTGTGATCAATCAACTCTTATCAGAAATTTTGCGCTACTTCTATTTCCTATTTAACTAGGATTCATTTTGAAACAAGTAAAATGAGTGAATCTGCTATTAATAGGAGAAAATCCCAATTGTTTCTAACACAAATTTCTCCCGTTTATGATACACACGATGAAGTAGTGAGGAAGAAATTGAAAAGAGGGAAATTTCCTCTAACAAAAACTGGGATTATTAGGATGATCAGTTTGGTAAGTACCTAACTAGAAGTTTTAATTGTATCAAATTTGATTATAAAATTTTCAGTGCTTATATCTCGGAAGTACATTAACTTGGATTCTACTAAACCAACAATGCGATAATTCAAATATTTCATATGCAAATATATCGTGCATAGGCATTGCATTCGCAGGTGGATTGATATTATTTTTGTTGTTTTCATTGGGATTGAGCGTTAAGGATCCTGGAAGTTGGATACAGAGTGTAAGATATTTTTAGCTTTATGGTAAACTTATTTTGTGTGATATTAATGGACATCCAGTAAATATAGCACTTTGAAATTTTAGTTAGTTAGTAGTAAAGTTATCTTGTGCTATATTAATGTATATTGATTGTTTAATATAATGATATGTATATTATGTATTTGCCTCAGTAAGGCATTGATCTATATGTATTTAATTTTTTCAGGATATCATCTTTAATCTCATTATCTCATTGGCAGTAATCGTTGTTTCAATTCTGGCATTGAAAAATTGCCGTGAAGCTGGAACCAAACATTTATCTTCGGTATGGTATAATTTTTTGTTTAAATTTTACAATTTTGCTGATTTTTTCTCTATTTCAGGCTTTAGCTATTAGTGCAGCTAGTGCAAGTATATGCAGCTGTGCAGCTCTACTTTTAATGTATCGATTTATTGAAGACACAAATCCGACTACTAGTAAACCTACGAGGCGGGATCCAAGAAAATCCATTTTTGCCTAATTTGCGTCAATTTTTTACTGTTAATAAAAATATCCACCAGTATCCTTTCTTCATTCTAGTGAGTGTCTTTATCTGATATTAAGATTAATTGATTAATATTCATCTTTATTTAAAAATTGTGTAACATAATACAACAAAAAGAAATAACGTCGATCAAAAACGAAATAAGAAAATACACTAACAAGATTTTCAAGTTGACACACAAATATAAGGGAAATGTTTACTTCAAGATACCTAAAGAAACTACAAGTTCCAGTGAAGCTTATTAAATAGTTTTACACATATACATACATATAATGTGGTTGTCTTTCGGTTATTTGAAGCCTGTGCCTTGAATACCTTAAGTTCTCTGCCCTTATATTATAAGAATGTTCATTTTAAACCTCCAAGAGATTTTTGTTTCTAAATGTAAACATTATAGGCATTCGTCAGTACAGGGTGTCCCAAATTCGAGGGCTAACATTGGGATATCGGTAACCGTTAGAGATACGAGGGTGGTTGAATTAGACAAAAGTTGCCCATTTTGAAGCTTAACAAAAGCCGTTTTGAAATTTGGGAAATTCTCAATTCCGGGAATATTCCGGAAAATGTGATTCTGGTGTGAGGTTCCTCAAACCATGTATTTTAGTACTGCCTATAATTTCCAGTACTGTATGTGCCCGAGGCTAGGGTGGAAATCACCATATTTTCACAAAAACCCCTTTTTCGATGAATCGTAATTATTAGTTCTACCCCCTTAAACCACCCTCAAAGTAATTTGAAAGTCAAGTGAGGCTCACCAAACGATGTATTTTAGTACTGCCTATAATTTCCAGTACTGTTCGTGCCCGAGACTAAGGTGGAAATGTCTTATTTTCACAAAAACCCTTTTTTCGATGAATCGCAATTATTAGTTTTACCCCCTTAAACCATCCCCAAAGTTATTTGCAATTCAAGTGAGGTTCCCCAAACAATGTATTTTGGTACTCTCTATAAGTTCCAGTACTGTTTGTGCCCGAGACTAAGACATTTTAGTAAAAAGGTGAAAACTTTGAAAAATCATAACTTTTTTTCTATTAAAGATAGAAAGCTGAAATTTTCAGCGATCCTTATTCTAGTAATGGACTACAATCCCAGAAAATTTCAGCTCATTTGGATATATAGTTCCAGAAATAAAATCTCGTTAAGCAATTTGGGGTAATTTATCGATATTTTGATTTGTCTGAGTGCCCTTTTCCATAGATTTCGGCTTCAAATCTCAGAATAATTTAGTGTATGGAGGTTGGGGAGTCCCAAATGATCATTTAGACACAAAATCTCAACATGAAAAAATTTGAAATTTCATCATTCTAGTACTAAGGTACCACCTTATGATTTGGATTTTTATAACTTTGAAAAATCATAACTTTTTTTCCATGAGAGATGAAAAGCTGAAATTTTCAGCGATTCTTATCCTAGTAGAGGACTATATTCCCTGAAAATTTCAGCTCATTTGGATCTATAGTTCCAGAAATAAAATCGCGTTAAGCAATTTGGGGTAATTTATCGATATTTTGATTTTTCTGGGTGCCTTTTTCCATAGATTTCGGCTTCAAATCTCAGAATAATTTAGTGTATGGAGGTTCCCCCGTCCCAAATGATAATTTAGACACAAACTCTCAACATGAAAAAATTTGAAATTTTGTCATTCTAGTACAAAGGTTCGCTACCTTATGATTTGGATTTTTGAAAACTTTGAAAAATCATAACTTTTTTCTATGAGAGATGGAAAGCTGAAATTTTCAGCGATTCTTATCCTAGTAGAGGACTACAATCCCTGAAAATTTCAGCTCATTTGGATGTATAGTTCCAGAAATAAAATCGCGTTAAGCAATTTGGGATAATTTATCGATTTTTTGATTTTTCTGAGTGCCTTTTCCATAGATTTCGGCTTCAAATCTCAGAATAATTTCGTGTATGGAGATTGGGGGGTCCCAAATGATCATTTAGACACAAAATCTTAACATAAAATTTTTTGAAATTTTATCATTTTAGCACAAAGGCTGCCTTATGATTTGGATTTTTGAAAACTTTGAAAAATCCGAGAATCGAATAAATAAATAATCTGATCAAAGAACTATTATATTGTTATGTGAAAGGGTTTGTAGATAAGTGAGGCTACATTTCCAAGACCATCTAACAAAAAAAACAACGACAAAACTAAAGGTGAGTTTACACATGCATGGATTTAGTGGCGCCAGTGGTCGCGCCAGTTCTATTTGCACGCCAGAAAAGGTTTACATTTTGTGTGAAAAACAAAAATAAATGGCACGCCAGTTCCATTTTTAAAGTGTTTTTCTCAGTGTGCACTATGTCGAGTGAACTTTCCGAAGCCTGATAAAAGAAATACAAAAAAAGAAACACAACCAACGAAATGGCCGTGTCTGGGTTAAACCATGGATTGGTCGTCGACTAACTTTGGGTGCTTCTGCAAAACTTCTAGGAGAACTCGCAGCAACCGAAATGAGAATCAAACTGAAACGTGGCGAGCGGACGACGATGTGCAAGCACTTGTTTACACTTGAAAGTTTTGATTTTCTGTACGAATTTGTCACCACTGGCGCCAGTGATTTCAGAAGAACGCAGACTTTTTTGATCTATGCATGCAAAAATAATATGTGTATGCAAGTTCATGTTTACACTTGCTAATAAAATTTACTGGCACGCCAGTTTTTATTGGCGCCACTAAATCCATGCATGTGTAAACTCACCTTAATACAATTACAGCACGCAAATTAATTAAATCAAGCTTAACTATAAACAAAACTATAACTACTGATTTCCTTACTATCCAATTTAAAAACGTTTCTCAACTGTCTTATCTTATTGTGCCTACTTGTCTTGATAAACACCTGAAAGCAACATCGATTAAAATATCCCAGTTAAAAATTAAACCAAAAAAGAAACTAAATACCTATACTTGTATTGAATTTATTTTGACTTGCACAGATTTTCACTTACACATAAACTACATAGCAATTATGTAAATAAGTTAAATAAATAAATAACTTTTAGACAGTAAAAAATACTGCAATGTTTGATCACTAACCGAAATTGAAAAAACTAAAGCTACTTTTTTCCTTTTTTCCCTTTTTGTGGAGGTTGTACAGGTACTCCACTGGCTTCGGCTAATTGTTGCTTAAGAGCCAGTAACTTCTTAACTTCTGGTTCCCAAACCGATTTTGCTTCACCTCCTTCTTTAAGTTTTCTCACAAGCAATCCCTATGTTGAATATTTTTTAATAAATAATAAAACAAACAAAAATTCATCTTACTTGTTTAGTTACTTCTTCTTCTAATGCCTTAATGTCGAGCTTATTTGTTGGTTTCTTCTTTGCATCATCTTCACTACTTATTTTTATTAGTTGTTGTTTTAATGCTAACAATTTACTAACTTCTGGTTGCCAAATTGATTTATCAGCTCCACCTTCTTTGAGTTTCCGAACCACCATGCCTTGTTTAGCAACAGCTTCTTCCAACATGTCTTTATCGACACCATTGAAGTTTAATTGCACATTATTTTTAGGCGGAGAGTTTCTGGATTCTTGAGAACCGGCAAACTTCTTTTTGTATTCTTCAATTAGTTCGGGTTCGATTTTTTCAAACAAAGGTTGCGGATCGCCGATTTGATGTCCAGTTGGTAAAAGATTTACAATTTGGATGTTACTGCAAGAAAACATTTTTTTTTTTGTAAAAACTAGTAAAATTCTTACTCAGCATCCAAAACAACATCTTTACAATTTATTTGGGACTTCAATTTTGAACTAGTTTCAGGCATATATGGGAGAATTAAAGTGGCTAGTAGACAAGCTAAATTTGCACATAAACCTACTACAGTACCACCTCTTAATCTGAAACAAATAAAATATTGAGCTTGATTGAAAAAAAAAATAAAAATAGGTAATTAGAATCCTTACTTTCCTTGTTCACCTTCCTTGATTCTAACCCAAGGTTGATTTACTTGCATATACTGATTCCCGTGTCTTGAAATAGCTAAAATATGCCTAATACCATCCCTTAATTTGCATTTTTCTAGTGAGGCCATGTATCCTTTAAGCTCCTTAGTACATAGAGCTAGCAAAGTATAATCTTCACTGTTAAGCTCCATTTTGGGAATGGTTTTATTAAAATTGTTTTTAACAAAAATTAAAGCTCTGTTGATAAAGTTTCCCAAATTATTTAACAACTCCGAATTATTTTTGGTAGCCAAATCCACCCAGCTAAAGCAGGAATCTTGAGCTTCTGGCCTAACATACAACAAATAAAATCTCCACACATCACTAGGAATCTTAGTGTCTCTTGCGTCATTGCCAAAAACTCCAATCCCCCGAGACTTGGAAAATTTACCATCTTCATAATTCAAATATTCCGTAGCCATTATATGGGATACAGTTAGGTAATTTTTGTTGGCTCCTAATAGGATGGCCGGAAATAGAATTCCATGGAACGGTACGTTGTCTTTAGCCATAAATTGATAAAGTTTGACCTGAGTATCATTGGCTGGACGCCACCATTTTTCGTAGTCTTCAGTGTAGGATTTGCAAATTGAAAGGTAGCCCATTGGAGCATCAAACCATACATAGAAAACCTTAAAAAAATATTATACTTTATTGTAGAGAAATAATTTGAGTCTGAGTTGAAAGCCAAATGATTTTTCTAGCAATATGACCCCTATAATGATGTTTGTTGACTTAAACCCTGTCATCAAAAAGTTTGAGGAGACTTCTTGAAAATTCTATAATCATTAACCAGGAATTCTAGGGGTAAAGAATATTAAATGTAAATGCAAATTGTGTTATATGTTTTATAGAATTGTTTTTGATTCAAAGCATCAACTACACAGGAACACAGGGCTACCATTTTTCCAGAAAGTTAAGTTGGTAGCAATATCCTGGTTTGGAAAATACCTGTATCAAGTTAATAATCATAGAGAAGTTTAGTAAATTTTAGCTAAAACCTTAGAAAGTAAAGAAAATGTGAGATATTTCCTTGCAACTAATCGCATTATGTCACCATTACACAAACATTCATACCTAAGGTATTTTCAGCTGGAATCTTTATAACATTTTCGTATGTTAGAATCTTATCAATTAAAAAAAAATAATCCAAAATTGATTTGAATGTGACACCTGTGAAGTCAAATATACAAGTGCTTCTTATAGATGCCATTTTACTACCGAGTAGAAGTCATCTGTTTAAGATTCGAATTATTGAAAAACAAGATATAAATTCTTACCTTATTCCTAAAACCATCAAGCGGTACGGGAATCCCCCATTTAAGATCCCTAGTAATACATCTTGGCTTCAATCCCTCTTTAAGCCAAGCCTTAGAAATAACTTCAGCATTATGAGACCATCCCGAACTGGATTCCTTAATCCAATGGTGCAACAACGGTTCCAACTTGGGCAAATCGATAAAAAATTGACAGGACGTCTTTACTTTGGGAGTGTTTTTGCAAATTTTACATCTAGGATTTTTCAATTCTATGGCGTTTACAAGTTTACCACAGCCGTCGCACTGATCTCCTCGAGCGTCTTCATAAGTACAACCGATATTTGGACATCCACCTTCAACAAATCTATCAGCTAAAAAGCGATCACATTTTTCACAGTGTAATTGGTCTACCGATTGAGTGAACATAAATCCATTGTGACTGAGTTGCAAAAACATATTTTGAGTGATTCTTAAAAATAATATTCATTAGAAAAATATTGAAAAACTGATTGAAAAATTCTTACTCTGTTTGGAACGGTGTAGAGGTCCTACCAAATTGGTCAAAACTAATATTAAACCATTTATAAATTTCCTCGTGAATTTTAAAGTATTTATCACAAATAGCTTGACACGATAAACCTTCTTCTAAAGCTTTGGTTTCAGTGGCAGTGCCGTACTCGTCCGTGCCACAAATAAATAAAGTATTATTATTGCACAAACGTGAATATCTGGCAAAAACATCGGCAGAAAGGACACAACCGATAATATTACCCAAATGAGGTACATTGTTAACATAGGGCAGTGCAGAAGTTATAAATACATTTTTTTCACCTGGTTTTGGTAGTCTACAATAATTATTAATGTAAATCTAGCAAAAAATACAATACAATACAATACTCACACAACTTTTTCAGGATTTTTCAATTTTGACAATGTCTTCAGGTCTTTTTTCCAAGCAATTTCAGCTGCCTGAATTTCTTCAGGAGTAACATTTTCAATTTCGTGTTTGGGAGAATCCTTTTCCGTTGTGGGAGATTGTTTCAAGTCTTGCACTTGTGGAATGGGATATTTGGAACTTTGCATTAATACTTGATAAGATTGAGCTCCAATATTGGGTTTTTGATTAAAAACAGTTTCTATTGATTCTTTAACTACAGGAAGGCCTTCTAATATTCCGAGCCAGCGAACGAGATTTTTTGATTCAATTAAATAATCTTTCGAAAGCTTTTCCGTTTTGAAAATTGGATATAAAGTGGAAAATACTGAAACGTCAGCTATTGTTAAAGTGTCCTGAAAGCAAATACTCATGAAAAATTTAATTTTATGGTTTAGCCCCACAATTTTTTCACTAGTTCTTGCCTATTTGGAAAGAATTCTATAGTTCTTGCAGGGGTGCAGTAGTAGTTCTGCAGTGAAAGTTGAAAATTTTTAAAAAACAAAAATATAAATGCTAGCTTGAAGCCGTACCCTCACCCAATCAATTTAAGAGGAGTTCTGATGACAGTTCTTGGTGTATGCACTATAGTTCTATAGTTCTTGATAAAATATAGACATAGTTCTGAACAAAAACAACGAAAAAAAGGCAAAATTCTCACTTGGTACTGACACTGTATGTATGTAAGGTCTCGTGGTTCTGGTGGTATTTTTGTAACTAGTCTTTGTATCTTCTCTAGAACTTCTATATCTTTGGCATAATAGGGATTCCACACTGAGAAACTGTATTCAAGTTTTGGTTGTATGTAACTTGTATGCAGTTTGCCTATCATTTCTATCGAGTGGTCTTTAAATGCTTGTTTAATCAGGTATACAAAAGAATTGGCTTTTTTGGCAATCTTTAAAATGTCTGTTCTCCCATTTTAAGTCTGATGTTATCATCACTCTTAGGTAATTTTGATTTGTCACAGATTGTAATGTCACATTGTTTAGTTCGTATTTGGATTGTTTTGACCGATTCTTAAGACTGTACATTTGGACTTATTCAACTTCATTCCCCAATCTGTAGACCATTCTTCACCAGTTTTTAGGTCAGCTCTTAGCTGCCCTCCATGTACTAGTGGATTTGTATAAAGCCTTCCATCATCTGCGAAATTTTTCATTTTAAATTCAATGAGACTGACTAGATCAAACAAATATACTGTGAAACTTAAGTGCCCATGACCGAACCCTGGACAACTCCGCTACTAACAAGATGTTGGTTTAACAGCACACCATTTACTGTAACTTGATAAAATCTCTCATGCAGTAGGTCCTCTATTACTGCAATGAGTTGACCTCTCACTCCAAAGTGTTTCAACTTTCTCGGAAGTAGATTATGTGGGACATTGTCGAATGCCTCCTCATAATCGAGATAGATAGCATTTGTAGGTTTAGAATTATCATGGTTATCTGTCCAGTCTTGAAGGCATTCAAGTAAATTTGTTGTTGTAGAACGATTTTTTCCATTGCTGTGAAATTTTTCCAAGTGTTAAGCACTCCTGCACCTCCACTTTGGTTTGGACGATCATTTCTAATAATACTATAACCATCTAGATTTATAATGTTTTCATCTAATCCGTCCCTCAGCCATGTTTGCCTGGTAACACGTTGAGTGTCAGGTAAAAGTATTAGGTAATCCTGAAACATCGAATGGTATTCAAAAGGTTATACAACGAACTAAACTTTAATACGCTGTACATTATTCCCATATGACACGAGAGGTTAATAAGTGATAAGCCTTTTGGGAATATCGCACTTGGTGGCAATATCTATAGCAAATTCTATTATAGAAAAAGTTTTGTTTCATCTCTTGCCACCAAGCGCGATAATCCCAAAAGGCTTATCACTTATTAACCTCTCGTGACATATGGGAATAATATACAGTGAGTTGTATAATCTCCGAAATACTTCGTAATACCTAAAAATACCATGAAGTACCTCGAAATACTAGGTATTCCCGTCGAAGTATGCGAAATCCCATAGAATTACCGTCGAGGTACGAAATACCCTCGAATTACCACGCGAAGTCTCGCAATACTTCTAAAAAAATTCTCATTGATATCGATTCTTCCTGTGGATCGCAGTAAAGAATTTTTGTATCTTTTGATAGGCTCGGATTTTTGTGTCTTTTCATGTCATGGATTTTATTCAGACACACAGGATAGACAATTAAATCAATAGTTAGTGATGCTGACTGTTAGTTCTACAATGCTGTTAGGTACAGGGTCATCTAAGGGAGGACTGAATAGGGGCAATTTTTGACCTTCCCTGTAATTTTGAGAAAATCCAAAATAGCCAATTGTTGAAATCAGGTTAAAGGGGACTAACAAATAAGCGCACAATATACAGGGTGTTCCATTTGAAAAAATATAACTCCACACTGCTGCACTTTTTTGACGCACCCTGTATGCCTCAAACGGACTTATGGGTCAATTCTGTGCACAACTGTAAGCAATTCTATGAATTTCTATAAGCCTATAGCTGCCTAAAGACAATTTGTAATTCTGCACTTCCTGTAGATTACAGAATATATTATAGGATCGTACATATTTTTGATGGAGTGTTTGGCAATCGATGCGTTTTGTAGTGTCTATAGGCTTATAGAAATTTATAAATTTGCTTACAGACTCCACAGAATTGACCTGTAGTTAGTGTTGTAAAATTCTCGGTAATTTTCGAACGTTGCCGAACTTTCGGGAATGTTTGAGAATTTTCGAGAATTTATGAGAACTTTGGAGAATGTTGCAAAAGCACCTATAAATTCGGCTTTTTAATGTAGGGCTTGTAAAAATGTCTATTAATAATAAAATTCCACTAAATCTTCCTATTTTTCTTTTCTCTGGTAGGGGTAGGTGAATTTTCCATAAATGTAGATGTAACCCTTGTCTAAGCATTATTAATTTGTTGTAAAGAAAATGATAATATGTATAAAACTAATACCAAGTCTTGTTTCTTGTAAGTTAGTGTAATAAAAAACAAACTAAAAAACAACGTAGATGTAGGATGTAGGTATACCTATAGCAGTGGTAGCACCAAAAAATAAAACTCAAAAATCTTTAAATGCAATTACTTACATAACATAAATACCGAGATAAATACATAAAGTGTTAAGTGAAAACAAAAAGTAATATAAAAAAATAAATTTAAAAATAAAAATAGGAACTCTAAAAAAAGGAACTTAAAAAACGAACTTTCTGTTGCAGTAATGGTCATGGTAATAACACAAGTAGTTATAGAATAAAAAAATAATAAAAATATTCAGAAATCAGGGCCCATGTCCATGATTAAACGATTAGGTAACGTTTACACATGCATTTTCAGCGAATTTTCGCTTAGAGAGGAGCGAACATTACCGTAAATTACGGTAATAGTGCGAACGTTCGCTCGGTAAAGTTCGCTTGTTACAACACTACCTGTAGTTAAAAGCTTCTGACAATTTCTTAAAACTTTTGTATTTGACACTTCTGGCAGACGTCAGATGAAAAAGTTAGCAGGGGGTGACATTTATAATAGATCACCTTGTACAGGGTGCTGCAATTTGGAGTGTTTCAACAGGAAAAACGTACTTCCAGACCAGATAGAGGAAAATTGACTGAGATGTCATGGGATCGATTTTCGAGAAACGTCGATTGTCAAAAACCGTATCTCGATATCTTCAATGGTACCATTAATACAGGGCGATTTTCGATTTTCCCCTATTATGAAAAATGGCTATAAGTTTTTTATTTATCAATTTTTTTCATTTCTGTAAAAACATTATGGAGACACTTTTTTGAGCACAATCCAGTGGCGGACTCGATTTTTTTCGATATCGCTCCGATTTCGAGATTTCGACCAAATTCCGATATTTTCAACTGAAACTCCCTTTATATTTATAGCTCGTTGGATAGCTCTGTTTTTGCTGATTTTAATGATATAAAGTTCGATAGGTTTATCTCTAATAGTTTTCGAGAAAAAAAATTATATCTGTTTTTGTCGTAAGGACCAATGTGTTTTTTTTTCATTTCTGTAAAAACATTATGGAGACACTTTTTTGAGCACAATCCAGTGGCGGACTCGATTTTTTTCGATATCGCTCCGATTTCGAGATATCGACCAAATTCCGATATTTTCAACTGAAACTCCCTTTATATTTATAGCTCGTTGGATAGCTCTGTTTTTGCTGATTTTAATGATATAAAGTTCGATAGGTTTATCTCTAATAGTTTTCGAGAAAAAAAATTATATCTGTTTTTGTCGTAAGGACCAATGTGTTAGAAAAGGATTTTATATGTGTAAGGAAAGTGAGAAAGGTCTCTTTCTAACACATTGTTTCTTATGACTGAAACAGATATAATTTTTTTTCTGGAAAACTGTTAGAGATAAACCTATAGAACTTTATATCATTGAAATCAGCAAAAACAGAGCTATCCAATGAGCTATTAATATAAAGGATGTTTCATTTGAAAATATCGGAATTTGGTCGATATCTCGAAATCGGAGCGATATAGAAAAAAACCGAGTCCGCCACTGGATTGTGCTCAAAAAAGTGTCTCCATAATGTTTTTACAGAAATTAAAAAAATTGATAAATAAAAAACTTATAGCCATTTTTCATAATAGGGGAAAATCGAAAATCGCCCTGTATTAATGGTACCATTAAAGATATCGCGATACGGTTTTTGACAATCGACGTTTCTCGAAAATCGATCCCAAGACATCTAAGTCAATTTTCCTCTATCTGGTCTGGAAGTGTATTTTTCCTGTTAAAACACTCCAAATTGCAGCACCCTGTACAGGGTTATTGGTTATAAATGCCACCCCCCTCTATCTTTTTTATTTGATATTTTAGAAAAAAGTGTCCCAAATAAAAGTTTTATTGTTGAAATTAATTTTTTTGAAAAACTCACTTTCGCATATAGGTGTTTCAGAAAAGCTGGTCGTGCTCCAAATTTCTTATTTCAAATAGAATACCCTGTATATTATTGGATATTCGGATTCTACGTAAAATTCTGAGCAGATTTCATGTGATATACCCTATACCTAAGTTCAACTGTTTTGGAAATATTGACAGTTGAAAATTGACTTTTTTGAAACTTTGACAGGCTGTAAATCCTAAACGGTTAATTTTAGAGCTTAACCGATCTTACATTTTTATCTTAGATTTTTATAAACTATCAGTTGACACCAATATTTGACATCAACTTTGAATGTAATCCCTGATTGAAAATTCCAATTAAATTTAATCTTCGGTTAAATTCAAAGTTGGTGTCAAATGATAACTTGTGAAAATCTTGGAAAAAAATGTAAGATCAGTTTTGCTCAAAAGTTAACCGTTTAGGTTTTACAGCCTGTCAAATTTGCGAAAAAGTCAATTTTCAATTGTCAATATTTCCAAAACAGTTGAACTTAGGTATAGGGTATATCACATGAAATCTGCACAGAATTTGATGTAAAATCCGAATATTGAATAATATACAGGGTATTCAATTTGAAATAAGAAAGTTGGAGCACGACCAGCTATTTTGAAACACCCTGTATATGCAAAAGTGAGTCTTTCAAAAAATTTAATTTCAACCATAAATTTTTTATTTGGGACACTTTTTTCTAAAATGTCAAATAAAAAAGATAGAGCGGGGTGAAATTTATAACCAATAACCCTGTACATGAAAAACTACTTTTAAATAGCTCGAAATACCTCGAGTTAACGCGAAATACTTCAAATCACCTCAAAATACTTCGAATTACCTCAAAATACTTCGAATTTCCTCGAAATACTTCGAATTACCTCAAAATACTTTGAATTACCTCCAAATACTTCAGAGTACTTGGCAATACCACAAAAAACTAAGTTCGAATTAACACCACCAGAAGATTTTGAAATTGGCGAAATACTTGCGGAATACCGACATTTTCGCAATACGTGTACACATTTTTACAAAGTGGTCGACCCCTCGGCCATAACTAAGAAGATTGTTCATCATGGCTGAGAGGGGATGTGACAGAAGTGCAGCAGACTTGCTCAGGAAAATGACAGGATTTCATCCTCTTCTGGATTAGAGTAAATTTCTCAAGTGTAAAAGTTATAATTTCAAGTAAATTACCACAGAATGTATCAGGATCCAAGTTGGGTTTAGATGTTTTAAAATTTTAGACCAAGAAATTTCATCAGAAATCTTATAAAATCAACTAGGGTGCGGCATGAAGTTTTTTAAAAATCTTCATGAAATAATCAACTTCCACTGCAGAACTATTACTGCGCCACTCCAAGAACTATAGAACTCTTTCCAGAAAGACAAGAACTCATGAAAAAGTTGAGGGTGCTAACCGAGTTACCTATCAACCTACCTTTATAAAAAAATTACTGTCTCCCAAATCAGCATTCAATTTTTGTAAAGCTGACAATACTGAACTTTTCAATTTCTCCGATTTTATATTATTTCCTAAAAGAGCTGCTAGAGAAGGTGCCAAAATTATTGATTCCAATTCCAGTATTTCCCTAACTTTTCCCAACATGTTATCAGGAGGTGGCAACAGTAACCATATTGCTGCGTTCGGACTGAAAATACTTTCGCCAGATTCTAATGCTAAATACGGCAAATAAGGGCAGTCCTCTAAAGCAATAAACGTAACAATAATTAATAATTTAATAAGTAATTAGTATGGTATTTACCATTTGGCCCTTTTAGGTCGACTGGATATTTTTTGTTGGCCAAGTTGTTTGACAGGATTAATTTGAGGGTGGACGGGTTATTTTCATTTCCAATTATTGTGGTCATTATGATAAAATATTTCCGTGTTTAATTGGGATTTTGAGAGAACGTGTAGTTATAGAAAATGCAAAATTGCCTCACACTTTCCAAGTTGCAAGAGGAAAAGATTATTTTGAAAAAAAGTTTGGTTAAGATGGGTTGATTTTGATAGAGCTCTTCTTTTTTTCAACATAGAATGTAAGATGTGTGTTAGAAGGAGAAGGCAGGATTGTAGGAAGAGTTACAGAAATTACCTCTGTCAATTATTTATAACTAGTTGACCCCGAGCTGCTTTCCGTATGCACATTGGCGATTGGCGCGCTCTAGAGCACCTCGGGGGCGCCACGCACTAGATTTGTACCGTTCCAGTATCATGACGTGAGACGCCTGTCTTAGTGTCAAATATGTCAAATTTTAAAAATAATTATCTGTTTGTTTGTGCAGTTTGTTTTTTTATTTATCATAAATGAAAGAGAATCAAAACTATATTTTTTAAAATGTTCAATCTTGAGATATAACAAGAAATAAATAAATAAATAGCTACCCACGGATGTGACAGGTTGACGCGTACGTACAGCTCGGGAGCTCAACGCCCCGAGTAGCTCCGGGCGTCACACTTCCATACTGGAAAGCGGCTCCGGCGAACTCCGTACCGCCTCTGGAGTGCGTTCACAGTCGAACGCCGGACGCTCACCGAGTGCACACCGAGCGCGTCGTTCACGGATCTACATAATTCACCCGGTTAAAATATTTGCTCCGTTCACAGAGCCATGATAAGTTTACCCGGTTGTACAACTTTTTAACCCACTCTGAGACATGGGTAAAATTTGTCGCGCAGGCGTTTTACAAGAATATTTGAAATTTGATAAACAAATACTGTTGGTAATCTTTCTGGGTCATGCATTGCTGACTTCAACTGGTTTTCAAGTTTTTCCAAGAAGCCAGTTGAAAGCTTCTCTGGAAACTCTAAAATTTTCCTGAAACTCCTTATCGCTATAATTGCGTATTGTTGCCATAAAATTATCCTGTCTTTCAATATGCCTTTTTTCAGGCTTGAACATAAACTGCTAGCGCTAGCACATGCAGCTTGTGCTACAGCATAGCTGACTTCTTCCTCTGTATCAGACGAATCCGAAGAAGTTTCAATAGTACTTTTAAAAAATATTATTCCCGGATCCATCTCGAAACATTCGAAACACAACGTATGTAAACAAAAGGAAAACAAAATCAAATCCTACCTCGTTATGGCGCAGGCGTTAGTCGTTCACGGATTTGTCATCCCAAGCGCATCCTTTTCAACCAGTGAAATATTTATAACCTGGTTAAGTTTTACCCAGGGAAAACCACTGTGAACGCGCCGAAGAAAATTAATATTTACTCTATGGATCAGAACTAATCAGAAGTCACCTAAAATTAAAATTTTACATCATTCCTTTTTAGGCAGCTTGTGGGCATTATTCTTGTAAAGTGTACCACCAAATAAATAAACTCAGGCACAGGAATGTTCAAAAAATGTAAAGCAAACAAAAAAAATCTACAGCGCAGCCCTGTTTCACTCTATCTGTACTGCATGCACTGCACTACTCCATCTGTTCTACTCTATCTGATCTACTCTTTCTGCACCACTCTATCTGATCGGAATAGTGGAATAGTTCTGTTCGGAATAGCTCCAGTTCCTGAGCAGCATTGTTCTACTGTATCTGCAATGAAATTACCGCGCAACGGCGAGCTTCGTTCTAGGTATCAGAGATGGCGCCGTATACAAAATGGTTTGCAATGAAAATGTGGCGGTTAACTTGGTATCGGTTATGAGAGATGGCGCCGTATGCGGGCTCAGTGAATTTTTTTCATAGATAAGTAAAATAAGTAATTTTGTTTTTTGTTTTTTTTTTTTCGATTTATTATGTTATTAGGGACAAATAAAAATCCAAGAAAGCAAAAATCATAAAAATCAGTTCAGCCGTTCTCGAGTTATAAGTGCTAGAACCAACACAACTGTGATTTATATATACAGGGTGTTCCGAAACTATTGTGCCAAAAATTAAGGGATGATAGATCGCGCCAAAATAAATGTTTTTCACTTATAAACACATAGGCGCATGCGCTTTGGTTATGTGATAATAGAACATACAGGTCGCGGTGTGGTAGCCACCTTACACACGGAGAAACGTGTTTGAAGCACGAACTGTGTTATTAAATGATGCAAAACCCAAGGAATGCTAGCAGTATTTACTAAAAACAATGATTCACAGCAAAAGATGCTCAAAGCCCATCTCCATACACCGTTGCATATACTCCTGAATACGTTGTAAAATTCATAGTGTTTCCAGAATTTCAGCAGCTGCTGCAACAATCCTTCCTACTAACTTCCTGTAGCTGTTTCAACTGGAGTGTCGTAAACAAGAGCTTTCATATGTCTCAATAAAAAAAAGTTGCATTTCGTCAGGTCTGGTGAACGTGGAGTCCATGCCCCCTTAACAATCACTCTTTCCAGATGTTTCGTTGAGATGTTCCCTTAAAGCTAACAAGTAATGTGGTGATAGTCTGTCGTGTGGGTTCCCTATGTTTTGTCTGGCATACAGGTAAACAGTTTCGGGAAGGGTTTCCTGCAGAAATCTACTCGATATTTCTGCTAAAACACTGTTACACATGCATTGAGGCGCGTGGTCGTAGTTTTGAGCATCTTTTGATGTGAATCATTATTTTAAATAAATACTGCAAGCATTCTTTGGGTTCTGTATTATCATAGTTTAATAACACAGGTTCTGCTTATTCAAACACGTTTCTCCGTGTGCAAGGTGGCTACCACAGTGCGGACTGTAATGTGCTATTATCACGTAACCAAAGCGCATGCGCCTATGGGTTTATAAGTAAAAAACGTTTATTTTGGCGAGATCTATCATTCCTCAATTTTTGGCACAATAGTTTCGGAACACCCTATATAGATATGTATTTATAATATGATGTGATTAAGTTGCTCCAAAAACCGAAATATAAAGAATGGTATAGGGTAATGAACAAACCACAACTCGACATTAACTTGATTATATTTATATTATCAATAAATAATTATAAATCACCATAAATCTATAACACAAAAGGATAAATTGCTTTGCAAACTGGTTCGGAAATTTAAAATAAATAATATTTTTAAATTACAAAAAATATACACGAACTATAAAATATTTTTTCTCGGTTGTATCTCAATAAAGTATTTACAAATTAATTGTTTAAACAAAGGGAGATCTTCCATTTCAAAAGTGGCTTCAAGTCTTCAAATACTTATTAAGTTTATTGACAAACCTGAGGTCAGTAGTATGTAAGTCAAAAAATAAAACTAAAAAATATTGATAAAGGCAGTAAAAAATTATATTAGGAATGCGCGAAAATTTGAATATAAATGCTTGTTGCAGGGTTCCACATTTAAACGAAAACACAGACTTAAGTACTAAATACAAAAATAAACAAATTTTCTTGTAAAATAAACCTATTTTATTTTTTCACGAAAAACAATTTAAATATGTAGCTGAAATCTATAAAATTCTCAAATAATTTAAAAGCTATATAGCCAGCTAAAAATCACACTTCATTCACAATATTCTAGGCGCCATAAAGCCATATTTTTCGGTTAATCATAGTTTGTCCATCTAAAAGTCATTTTAATTGACTTAAATGCCCATTTTTAGCACTGCGCATAGACAACATATTACATATTATTTATGAGTCACAACTTTAATATGTACATGAAATCAACAAAAATGTTCAAAAAGAAACTTTCCGCCTTCAAAATTGGGCATCATTTTTTTTTAAACACCCAAACTGGCTCTAGATTTCATTATTTTGTCGTCATAGTGTAGAGCAAGGCTGCCTACCAAGGCAACCAATGTCCGGTCTAGCCACGTTACAGGGTTTGGATATATGAGACCGCCCTCGTAAAAGCCTAAATGGCCTCCGTGAGCTACTTCTACGAAAAGGGTATTTGAAGCTTCAACTAAAATTTATAATTGTAGATAATTGAAAAAATTATTAATCGAGTTGTTGGTACTTACTGGCAACTTGTCTAAGCGGTTCCAATAGGGGTTCAGGAACAATGGGATCATCTTTGGCGTTGATAAAAATCATTGGTTTTTCAATGTCATTCAAATAATTGATGCTGGAACTCCATCTAGACAGAAAAAAAAGTTGTTAAATGTTTGTATCAGTGGAAATAAGGATATTTTGGTAAATAACTCGAACACAAACCCAACGATCGGGATGTTTTCAAATCACGGAAATATCCGTCTCAATAATTTTCAAGTTAGAAAAGTCTAAAGTTAACAATTTATGAATTTAGTTTTTCTCAAATTTTGAGGAAACAGAAAGCTTTGAAGCAAATTTGGGAACAGGATATAAATAAGCATTGAATTTCTTAAAAACTTTCCTGATTTGAGCCACCCTGTATCTCTCATAATAGGCGAGATCACAATGTGGATTCGAATTTTGGACACACTGTATACAGGAATGTCGTTATGTATGAAAACAGCCAAATATTTCAGAACGCCCTTAAAAAAAATAAATGTACCTTATTTCTTATGGAGGTTTTGAAGAATGCCCGATTCGATGGTGTTATTTGCAATGCTACCAAGTTTACAGTTTCTAAGATGTCGTATGTAACTTAAGTTTTGTGAACGAAAGTCGTTCTTTATTTTTATGGTAATTGATTCAGCATCCCTTATCTGACTTGGTTTTTGAAATATGAACCCCCAGGTAGGAAATATTGTACATTTTTCTTAAGTGTGTTCTGATATATTAGACTATTTACATACATAAGAACAACCCTGTATAATTTCATATATTCAATATTCATTCATTCATATACATGCACCGAATACAAATGATGAAGTTTAGCCTGAAGGTATTCTTACATCATGTTAAATATATAAATATTCAAACTCACTTGTACAACTCTGTAATAGTACTGAATCCGTGTACTTTCCTGGTGTAAGCCTCGTCTAGTTCGGGTAAAGTAGCGGCGGATATAATTTCACTTTCCACCAATTGGAATCGTTGTTTAGCCTCCTCGCTCAAAAGTACTTTGCTGTGACGTAGGATTATATTTTTTAAATTTTCAGTCATCACGTAGAGATAGAATCGACGGAAGTTTTGCCAGTTCAGGAGCCATTTAGTTCCTCTATAATTTAGTAAAAAAAATAGTACTTAAAATGTGAGATTCATCTGTTTCATTTTGTTGCTGATGCCCATTTCAATGGAAAAAAATCATTTCAATTTTTGAATCTAATCCTAACTTAAAATATCTACTTTACTAGGAATGTATCAATTTGTCAAAAATCACCATCAGAAGGCATTAAAAGACTCGGTGTCCTAGTGACTATAGTGTAATTTTTAAACTTAAGATCGAAAAGTCAAAATTATTTGTCTTTTTAAATAGATTCAGAATTAATAAGTTCCGGGTCAACCAATCTTTCTCAATTGTTGCTTTTTCTATAAGATAAGAATACTTTACTCATAAACATATGCCTTGTAAAAATAATTAATAAACAACAGAGAAATTAAAACAAAATTGTTGACAGAAATATCAGTTAATTCCTTTCAAAAAAAACTACATACAAAACCAAAACTCACTCAATAGCGTCATAGCCTTGACATATCGAAATTCCTCCTATAATGTTAGGATGTTTGACTCGTTCCCTTTCTCCAAGATATTTCGTCACCAGGTTCCCTCCGAGACTGAATCCAACGCAAACCAGTTTCGTATTTGGATGTCTGTTTATTAGGTTCAATAACATTGCATGGTAATCGTCTGTGTTTCCTGTAACAGAGTAGTCAGTGTAAATTTATGCCCTTCAGAGTTGGATCTTTGTGTTCTTAAAAGATAGAAATTGCCCTAGGAGCACAAATTTCCTTAAATTTGATTTTTTCATTTTGGAAAGCTAAATATTGCTGAAAGAGGGTCTTTAACCCTAGAAAAAAATAACTCTGTTAACAGAGATAATAATAATAACATACTAATTATTATCCTTTATTGCCAATCAAATGATATACATATAATCACAAACCAATGTCACATGAAGTATGGTATACTCACCTTGTGGTATACATGGCAAAAATTATTAAAGTTTTATCATTAAATGTTATCTAAATAGCAAAGTGCACACTAAAATGTCGAATATAGTTAAATATTGTCGACTGTCGTAGAAAAAAATACTGATAAAGAACCCTTCAAAAACATATTTGAAATAGCTGACATGATTAGCTAATAATTATTATAAAAGCTTATCTTTAAACAAGCGAAAATAGAGAAATCTTTGGCTCACAATATGTAGATTATTTGGACACGGCATTTTTCCAACCCAGAAGCAAATATTTATCAAACACTAGATCTAACTTTAAAAATATCTAGTAAAAACAAATTTAAATAAAAACAAGCACATTATAAAGACGCACTATTTCCACATTTCCTAATGATCAATGAAGCCTAAAAGGAAAATTTCAAATAGAAAGCGCAAAAACAATATGACATTATGATTACATGGTTAATAAATAGTAAAATCAGTACCCATGCATAATTATTAGGAAGCACTCGATTTGTTATTGTTTGCATAGCATGCCAACCTTATATGTATAACACAATTAAATGTGCAAATTCTCTTACCATAGCTGAAAATCCTAGGTGCAGTAACTGGAACCTTAGGCAAAGCGCCCACATGGTTAAGTACCGCACATCTGTAGCCGTGGTACTGAGCCCAATGGACAAAAGTACGAATGTAGACAGACTCGGAAGTATTGCAAATACCTGGGCATATTGCAATGGATATATCATCTGGAAAAAAAAATTGTATTTAGTTGTAAATATGAGTCATTGAAATAATAATGGAAGTGAGCTAAAAAATTATTGTTCTGTTTAAAAACATTTATTGGAGAGCTTGCCTATAAGTGAAATATTTTCGCTAAAACTAATGAGTAATTTTTGATTGAATAATAGTCCAAAATCGAGCATCAGGTTCTATTTTAAAAACTACATAACTATTTGATTATAGAACAATTATTTTAATTTCCGTCATAATCGCGTCATGGAAATAATCAACAATAATTTAAGTTAGAGTATGTTATAGTTTTTTAATACTAGTAGCCCCTGACCTGGCGACGATTATGTTTACAGATTTCAAGGCTCTTATTTTTTCTACAAATTCTCTCATGCCAACTGACAAGGCGACTAGCTGCTGCCCTCCTTCAGTTGATGCAAATCCTAAGGAGTAAAATATACAAATATTATATCTAAGAAATATTCTTTTTTCTCTACAACATTTTCAGTTCGAATTTCCAAAATACCTATATCTACACCCTTTTAAAAGGAATAAATATGTAGGTTTTACATTAATAACCGTTTGGGTTGAAATCGTTAAAAACTTTTTTGATACTTTTAAGCATCAACAGAAACCAAATAACATTTTCATGTCAACAAAATTCTGTTTGTGTCTTTAATTAAATTTGCAGAAAACACTTGACTATTTAAATAACAAGCACATAATCTAGTTATTGTTATCAGTTTACTTTCAAGAGAATCATAATAATTATGGGACAAAGTTTCAAATCACAACAAGTTTCTTGGTACTCTGAATTGAAGCTTTATTTCAATGATTAAAAAAAAACTGACTAAAACCCTTCTTCTTAAGACTGGACTATTTGCATGTATTATTATTTTTTTAAATCCTGGACTCAAATTATCATCATTCTTTACCTGGAAAATTCGTATCCAAAGGCTGATACATATCGTATGTTAGAGTCGTGCCATCTGATAAAGTGAGAAAGACTCTTTCTCCCATCGGCCAAGGACATTTCACTCGGCCAATCACACTGTGGATGATTGTCTGTACGTGTCCGCTAAAACCCCATAGCCTGGTAGGAATGTAACTGAAATGAAAGAACAAATATTTGCATTAAGATTTAAATTAATTTGCATTTTGGAAAGTATCAAAACAAGGATTATCAGGATTATAAATGTCTAATTTTTTTTTTTCAATGTATTATTTCCTCGATTATTTCTGTTCCTGAAATCTAAACTAAGGGGTGATAATATGTCAAATAATATAAAGCAAAACACAAAAAGGATGAAATGGCAGGTAGTTGGTAGTACAGATTCAGTTATGAAAATTTGACCAAACATATGAGAAAAATGGTACCTTTTTGTTAAAATTAAATGTATTAAGAAACAGTGACTGGCTTTATACTTTTTAGGTCTTTCTAAACTGAACACGTAGGTAAAATATACAAATTCCAATTTTCCTTCAAAAACTGCATCAAAATGGGCAAAAATGATATCTAGTAGTGTCCTTCCGATTCAAGCGAAATTTCTCAAAATACACAAGAAAATATATGAAGAATATATTTTTTTTTTATTGAAAAACTTTGAATTAGAAAGAAGAATTAACCCACATCAGAGGTCCAAATGGTCCAATATGCTATGCTGTGCGTACAACAATCTTCCCTAGTCAGAAATATTTTGTCCACTTCAAGAAGAACCTGTTTTGTTTTGTCAGCTCGAAGACAGACAACGGAAGAGTCGGTTCCTTACCACAACAGAAGCTTGACATTTTCAGCTTAAAGGAAAGAAAATTTCAGTTGCAAGTAGAAGTAAACATGGAGGTCTTCACAAATTAGACCTTGAAAATGGACAACTTCAAGCTGCACAGATCAATGCAGTGCGAAATGTTGACATACTTCAGGTAAATCATGAGAGACTGAGTCATCAAAATAAGAGACGTTTCAAACACATTCCTAAAGCTGGTGTGACCCTAAAAAACGACTCAAGCTACTTAAATTAAGAATAAAATTCTAAGATCTCTCATGAAAACCGCAGTCCTATATTCAAAATAGTCTCCGAGAAAATTGTTGTGAAGATAAATTATGCAGGAACTTGTGATGTCACATCACAACATTCACAACCGCCGAAATCGCCGTCTTCTGTTCGTTCAGTCGTCAGTGAACCGTACCCTATACTTTGAGTGGTTACAATTCGCTCTAGGAGATAATGGGCTCTTTCACTAAAATTTAAATACATAATTTAAGTATAAAACCTCAAAGGAGGGACTATTTTAGGCATATATACCAAAAAAAAAAATGTTCTACAAGGTTCAATATAAGTTTTTCACAGGCAATCAAAAGTGGCCAAATTCAAATTAATTTTAAACGCGCCGATTTGCCGACGTCACATAAATATTCTTCATTTCGCTTATGTTGTTGCAAGGAGGACCGGCTCGGCTGTGTTTGCGCTCTGTAAAGATACGTAAAGGTTCGAATGCGCTGTTGTCGGTTGTGACTAAATGTAGTGCAGCGTAAAATAAATAAATAAAACTAAACATAAAAAATTGTATTAAATTGTGTTTAAGCATAATTTAAAAAAAAAATGTTATAAAATCTTGAATCTATAACTAATTAATTTAACTACTCTTCATGAGATTTTGCCAACATTTCAGAATTAAATCTATTACAAATTTTCAATGTTGACAATTAGTGGCAACACGGTCAAATTGCGAGCTGCGACGTCATAGAAATAAATTCTGGGTTTTTATTTGGAGGTATTTCTTTGTTTTCTGTTTTCTCAAGAAGGACTTTGAATTTTTCAAAAGTAAAAATACAGAAAATTCTGTTTTTAGTTGCTTTATCCAAATATGCCAATTTCAAAAATTAGTGAAAGAGCCCATTGTCTTTTGTTTTGGAAAATTCTCACACGTTTTAATACCCTGTTAATCCAGTGTGACGTCACAAACACCTAGTTGTAACTTTAAACCGCCCTAACTCGAAAACGGACCATCGTAGCAAGATGCGGTTAAGATATTTATTCTTAGATTTTTTTTGCACTAAAACTTTCATTTTTGAGTCACACCCCCTTTACGAAAGATTTTGGAATGATCCTCGGAATGATCGTACCTCTTGATAGTGAGTTATGTGAAGGCTGTTTATTTGGCAAAGCACATGTTCTAAAATTTGGTTCCAGATTGAATTATTGAGAATTATTCACTCTGATGTATGTGGACCTTCTGAATTTTCAGAAAGAAGCTATATGAGATGACTACAGTTAAGTAAGTACCATAGTGTGATTTATGAAAGAAAAATCCGAAGTTGCTAGACACCTTAGAATATTTTTGTTAAAGCATACTGTCACTACGTTCTGTGACCTGAGCAAGGCTTTTGACTGTTTCGCACGAAATATTGCTGGACAAACTACCCTTTTACAATTTCACATTAGACAGCATCCACCTTATCACATCTTACTTTGTTAAGCGACAGCAAATTGTTAATTATAATAATGTATCCTCCAGTAAACAAGAGCTTAGCATGGGCGTCCCGCAAAGGTCCATCTTAAGTCCAATTTTATTTTTAATCTATATAAATGATCTTCCAAATATTGCCGAAAATGAAATTCTGACAAATTCTGCAGATGACACGACAGACCAAGTACAAGACACAGACCTACAGGCAGCGCTAGAAATGTCAATCGAAGCACAGTCGAGAGCCAGCCAATGGTTTGTTTGCATCAAACAAATTGTACCTAAATGAATCCAAAACACAAAATGTAGTATTTTCACTAGAAAAAAATCGAACCGGCAAATGACAGTCCTAAATTCTTGTGTGTAGTTTTAGACCAAAAACTTCTGTGGGTTGCGCACACCGAAATGATCTCAAACAAGATGAGTAAAAACGTTTTTTGCTGCGAAATTTATCTATGTGTGTTTCCCCCCGAGTGCTAAGGCAGACATACTTTTCGCTCGTGCATTCCCATCTAGGATATGCTCTCCTAGTATGGGGCCATGCAACGGGGGCGGCAAGGGTGTTTGTAATGCAGAGAATGGCTGTCCGCATTGTCTCGGGTCTTGGGTACAGGGAAGACTGTAAAAAAGCCTTTATCAGCAGCGGGATTTTGACTCTGCCAAGCGAGTTCATCTTGCAGAATTTGCTTTACGTGAGGGACAACTTTTTTTCCAATACAATAATTGTAACAGTGATATCCACAGCCATACCACTAGAACCAGGAATAACTCAAGACCAAATTTCTGTTGACTCCACAAGTGCCAAAATGGACCCGGATACCATGCCGCAAAATTGTTTAATAAGCTTCCAGAACAGACTATTAACCTCAATAAATCTCTTTTCAAAAATAAGGTAAAAGAATATCTGGTAAGAAAGGCTTTTTATTCACTTGAAGAATTCTACAACTCCACGCTCATTTGGTCAAATATTAAGATTGAATAGTGCTGTTTTTTATACCCAAATTTATTTGTATGTTCTATATTGTGTATTTTTTATATTTTGTACTTTATATTTTGTGTCTCTGTGTCACTTTTTTAAAAAGAAAAAATATGTAAGTACCTATGTCTTTTATAAAATGTTTTTTAGTAATTTACACTGTAATTATAAGTAATGTTGTACCTAACAAAAATTAATATGACCTGTGTAAACACTATGTGTATCTAACACCGATAACGATTATTATTATTATTATTAATATTTTTGGAAGAGGTAAAAGTTGCTGATCATGTCGTTGAAGAATTCTTGTCGGACAATAGAGGCGAGTTCCAAAATGAGCAAAATACAGAAACTTCAGACAAGCACGGAGTTTATCAAAGATTAATAATTTCCTATACTCTCCGACAAAATGGTTGTTCAGAAGGAGAAAATAGAACGATTGAAGAGACAGCTCGAACAATGATGCATGCAAGAGAAGGGTTAACTCAAAGCCTATAGGCTGAAATGAACAGATCAGATGTATTCAGTGAAAGCAACAAGTTACCCAACAAGTTGTCCCTACCAAGTATAGTAGGGACTGTAGGGGGAGAAACCATGTTTGACACATTTTTGTGTAAGTAATTGGAAGTTTGTTTTATTCTCATCTGCCTCAGCCAAAGAGAAGAAAGATAGATGAAGAGGCTGTCAAAGGTATTCTTGTACAGCATGATGATAATAACGGGTTTTCGAATTTGATGTTTAATTACCAAGCAGTTAATCAGATTCGGAGATGTTATTTTCGATGAAACCCCTTTCCAAGTCCTGAGGTTATATCAATTCCTGATCTTGAAGATGAAAGTTGTGAAGAAACCAATAAAGAAGTTCCTTTAGAACACCAAGATGGAGAAGGTAGTTCAAGACAAGAATGTTCAGATTCAGAAGAGAAGATCATGAGGACACTGAGAGTCAGAGTTTTTTGATTTTGAACACGAAATATCTACTTACTTACTGGGAAAGACTAGAGCTGGATTGAAAACTGCCGCAATGTAAGACTTAAGACTTAACCGTAAGAAATGGTCCGATTTTATTCCTTATGTTGCAGCTCAAGTTTTCAAGGTAGTTTTCAAGTATCGCAAGGTTCCGTAAGCAGCTGATCAAGAAACTGACATTTGGCTACATGCTACATGTTTTTCATATTTCTGGGTAGTTCAATTCCATTTCAGTTCATTTGCTTAAAATAAATATTTGTGAACAAATATAAATTTTGGTATTATTTAAATGTTGGCATTGTTTCAGGCTTCTTGAACTTTATAATTAAATAAAAAATAAATTTTCAAAATACATGTATCTACAGCAAAAAAACAGGAACAATTTGGAAGATATTTTGGTCCACTCGTTTTTCACAAATCGGCAAAAATATATGAAATTTTTATATACATTCTCAATAATTCTTGTCCCAAATATCATACCACTTCAAAAGTTTCGTATTTTTGCTGATTTGTCAGAAACTAGTGGACTAAAATATGAAGTGTGTTATATCATTGTGATCAGAATAAGATATTCTATCAAACACATATATAATATACAGGGTGTTCCATTTAAAAAAATATAATATAGGCCTATGTCAAAAAATTGATAGTGTTTTGCGAGGTGTTTTGTTTTATGTGTGACTTGAAAAAAAACTTGGC